TTCTGTGAGGAGGACGGTGCCATTCCAACGTAGCAGACCTTTTGTGAGCCACCCGAGGGTAGAAACTAGAGGAGGCAGGGCCAATGCCAATGTAGCAGCATGCCTGTGTGCGCAAAGTGAGTCGCACCGTTGGCAAGTGAGCCATGCGTGTGCAAGTGAGTTAGTTACGAAAGCTAGCACCAGCTAGGTGGAGTTGATCTTGCTTTAGCAAGTGAGGCGGTGGAATCCTCCAGAGCCGCATGAAAGCTTCATGCATATCGCGGGTTCAACTCCTCCCTGGGACGTCTTTGGGACACGTGCATTTGCATGCTCACCCCCGCCCTGCTAGCTTTAGTCACCAACCCTCAGCCTCAAGTTTTGCATGCTCATCATAGTTAAGTGAGCGGGGGCGCACTGCCGACATCGCTTGTGCAAGTGAGGTGAGTCTTGCGCAAGCGTTTGAGTCGCAAGCCAGCCCCAACAAACACCACAAAAATAGGGAGATACAAGCCCATGACTGCCAAGACGCAAGCAGCCGCACAGAAACACACGCCCTCCCCCCAAACCTTTTTTAGCGCGCTACGAAGGCAGCTCTTTTGAAGTCGACCACGCTGCACTGGCCACCAATGCGAAATCTGCACTGCTTCTTCCAATGTACTTTGCCTGCTATGACAACTGTTTCCCTTAACTTAACTGTCAGCCCTGCCGCCGAAATTCTTTTTGAGACTCAGCCACTCCGCGCAGTGCGTGTCGTCTTTAAGGTCACGAGGTTGCTGTAAATAGCAGCGAATTGTGAGCCCCAAGGATTTTGAAACACGTTCCCGAAAAATGAAAACTCCCGAATTGAGAACGCACCCTTTGTAAAAGTTCTGGCGCCAGGCTGCGATGCAGGAAGTAAGTACAAGCAGCATAGAGTTTTCATAAAACACCTCAAGTACAGTCGCCAGTATCTTCCTCCGCTTCCAGCCTTTGAAGTTATCAACTTTCTAATCAGAGTAAGTCCCAAGTTCCCAGCGTTATACGGCCTTAAGGAAATTCAGCAATCAGCTCGTTGGACGCCCTGCGTGGGCAGCGGAGTCTGGGGAGCGAAATGTATTGTAGGTTCGGTCACTGGAGATTTGCAAAGTCTTGTGCCGCGTACACGCAGTCATGGGAGGATGCAATCACAACGGATGACGAACAAGTCACAACAAGAGCCTTGGCCAGGAAGAGAGGCAACAGCAGGCGTTTCCAATTCTGTTCAACGACACTTTGCAGAGGTTTTTGTTCACTTGGACTCATGGATGTGTCTTATACTGGTCATTGTGTACATGTGGTGCTGTTTGCATGAATGTACGTTTCTTGGGTTTTGTGTACATTTCTTTGCCTAGAGTACCCCACGAAGTGGAAGGCCTGGTACGGGCGTGACGTGGACGTGTCCGCAAGTTTGTGTGTGTGTGGTGTGCTGAAAAGTCTATTCGCAGACTGCCCTTGAGGTGTCAGGAGCGACTTGATCGAAGAACAGAGGAAAGAGGAGGCGCAATTCTTTGCTCCGGAGGTCGACGTCTGTGTTACTCGAGTTCTTGCGCTACTCACATCTGAACGCCATGCATGTTCCAATGATGATACGTTAGCAACAGTTGTAACAGATATGCTATCAGCAAGGTGTTTTATCCCACGAAGAAACAGCAAAGATAATATATATAATACATATATATATAGAGAGAGAGAGAGAGTGCGTTGGGTGCATATGATTGTTGGAGTGCTTGTATGACCCCTCTCACTCGCGCACAGGCCAAAGTTGCAGTGGAGGCAGTTGAAGATGCTGAGAAGGCTGAGCAACTGTCAGTCTTATGCAGTCTGGGTGGTTGTGCTGTTCAGATGCAGATTGCAGTCATGTGTGTTTAGTTCTGGGCCGGGTATGAACAGCTAACAAAGCCAACAGCTAGTAAATAGATCATGAGCTGTTGGGAAATTACAAAACTGTTTACTCGTATGCGTTGCGTGTATGAATTTCTTGTGTCAGGTTGTGCTGCAACCGTTTTGTTTTGACAACTGATGCCATTTACGTGGTGCATTGCCGTTTTGGAAAAACTTAGTTTTGAGTTTTGTGGACGTGCACGTCCAAGATTGATTCCTTTCGAGATGTTCAACTCAGTCAAATCACACATTTGTCCTCTGGATACTATTGTTAGCTGTGCTCAAAGCCGCGCGAAAAAGGCAAAGGCAAACTGCAATTAGTTCAGACGAGGTGAACTGAGCCAAGATACAGAGGTGAACCAAGTGGAAACGCTGATTCATGTGGACTGCATTTGGCAGGCTGAAGTTAATCAGACCATTGCTCTACTCTTGAACAGCAACCAAAGCTTTGGAGGCACCCAACTCAGGAGCATCGACGAGTATGAGCTTGTTGATTGATTGTGGCTGACAATGACAGAGCTTGTTGATCTCTGGATCATAAACAGGTTGAACTCCCTTAAGCACTTCTTGAACTTGGCATTTGGTTGGATCGGAAATCAGTGTGATTTGGGCCCTCAGGTGGCTTTCCGAACGTCACGAATCCCACGCCCACCGGCAATGTGACGGTCATAGCCTTCTCCGCGGAGGCGGTCAACGCCACGGTTCACGCCACGGTGGAGGTCTCGGCGGGCGGCGCCAACGCCGCGAAGGTTCCGACCGAGGTGCTCTTGCAGGCGATGTCAGAGGCGGGGAGGGTAGCGATGTCGGATGACCTGCTTCACGTGAGCTCACATGACAAGGAAAGGCACGGACGCATCATGACGCATCTACGTGATGTCTTTGAGACAAGCTGTGATGTGACCCAGGTCGGTTCAACGCAACCGGTCTTGCTGAGCATCACGTCTATGAACAACGCGACGGCGCAGAAATTCCAAGACCCTCCAGCCCGTCAGGGGCAACAAAGCGCGGAAGTTTCATCGCAGGTATTGAGTGTCAACTTTTGGGATGCCGATGCTTTGCTTGATTTGGATGGATGGCATTTTAGGTTGAGTCTCTAGCTCGATTGACTGTTCTGTTTGCTTGATTGATGCTAGTGCAAGCTGTTGTGGTGCCTCTCTGCATTGCGAGGATGGCAATGCCATTGAGATAGGCGATGAGCTCGAAGAGCCGATCAAGCTTGTCCTGGAAGTGGACGATCCAAATCCCACGGTGAAATGCGCATTTTGGGATGAAACTCGGCTAGCAAGTGTCTGGCAAGTGGCAACGCAAGAACACGTGAGGACTCCCTTCTTTAGGCGTGCCAAGCAGGGAAATCATCGCAATAGATTTAGCTTGCCCAAAGTCATTTTCTATGCTTCTTCCGCTTGAAACGCTTTGCGGGAGGGTATTGAGTTCTTGTTCTGGTTGTGGAAGTTGTCGGACATGATGCCTAACAACTGTCGCTGAGAAAGGAACAGACTTCCCGCTGGTCCGAAGCTTGACTTGCATGGAGGGGGGCACGCGCGAGATCATTTCTGAAGTCACACCCCTACCTATTCTTTTAGTGCTGGGAAGTGTATTAACCATTGAAATCTTGTGAGCTACGCAGGTAAACTATGCAGTTTGCAGTTGGGCATACCACGCAAGCTGCGTGTTTGACGCTTGCACGAGGTACAGGGCGTCAGCACAACAGGTTGGAATGATTTCGGGCAGATCGTGTGCGAGACGACGCACTTGTCGGTCTTCGGGGCTGTGGTGTTTCGCGGTGTCGAGAATGCTGTGGCTGTGTCTTGGCGAAGTTGTCACAGGAAATCGAGGTGACGAAGGTCGTTGACAGAGTTCGAGCTTGAAACCCTGTGAGTCACATTTTGAGTGCTAAGTTAAGTCTGGACGCATTCTAGCATTGGTGCAGGTTTTCGAGTGCAACACTGCTTGGAAACTGCTAACCGATGAGGGGTTTGAGAATCTCTTCGACGCAGGCCGACACTTTACTTGATGTGGTTGAGCGTTGTTTGTAGGGCAGGCAAGCTTGGCAAATTCAAGTTCATGTGCTCCTTTTCGGGGCTCCGCATTGTGCCCCCTCTGCACAAAGAGCTATGTCTATGTATATAACCTAAACCAAAACGAGAGGTTCCTTTGGCAAGTGAAGATAGAGAAATTAGTGAAGGGAGAATGGGCTCCATTGAAGTAGTCCCTTTGAATCGATGATCTACTACATGGGTTAGACAGAGCAAATAACATGTCACATGTCCTTTTGGTAAAGGGCAATGTTGATCAATTTTTGCTGAGAGGCTCGGGTCTTGCGTCCTAGACCGGAGCAGATCGGAGCCACTGAGGTTCCTGAGGTTCGTTCCCACACTGTCGCCGGTGCCACCCTTGCAAGGTTCCTCGTTAAGGTTCGCGGTTCCTGAGGCGTATGTTTTTCCCGGCCCTTTTTGTTAAAGGTACCCAGGCTTCCATTTCTGAGATATCCCGAGGTGGTGACGGTGAGGATCTCGTGAGGTTGATCGAGGTTAACTCAAACAGGATTTGTCACAAGGACAAGTTCCCCGTTTCCAAGGGCCTCGAGCTTCCTAGCAATTCTGTCTCCCGACAAGGAGTCTTTGTATAATTCATTCGGCATGTTTCAGTTTATGGCGATGTTCTTCATTTGCGATTCCCCTTTCGTCCACCAGGTCAGTGGACGATGAGTGCCACAGGCTTTGTTGGCAAACGGTTTTCCAAAGGTCCTCAAGGTCCTCAAGATCCTTTGTTGGCTAGTCTAAAGGTCCCAGACTGTCAGACTTGACCAGTTTCTGAGTTACAAAAAGACATTAATGCATTGTGTGGATAGAGTTGCTGAAGGGAAGCACACGTTCATCATGTTCCCAGCCGATGAATGACCCAATGAAGTGCTGCGCAGTCAGTTAAATATCGTAGTATACTCTTCCTGATCAAGTCATGAACCTTTTTTAGTTTGGATGGAACTGGCCATTTCAAGTGATGAAGTGGCAAGCGTTTCCTGATTTCGCGCGCAATGGCACACTTTAAAATCTTTAAACACTTGAGTGTTCGCGCCTGACGTGGTAAAATGTCATGAACAAAGCTACAAACATTGATGACGCTGATGAACCAGTACGTGTTTATTGAAAAAGTGGCACAGAGCATTGAAATTGGACGGTGCAAGACCTAATGACGTTTTGACTTAATGAAGTCAACGCATGCGCTGCACGTTTGCCTGGTGAAGTGGGACTTTTCTTGCCCGAAATGATCACTCACTGCCCACCCACCTACATCAGCCCCTTCCTCCAATCCTTCTCTGTGTGTTGCAGGGCTGTTGCTGGAGTTGCTGTCATTTTAGCCCCGCAGCTTTGCTGAGGATGGGTGAGCCCCTTGCCTGCCGTGATGATCTTCCTGTTCCTCAGCCTCTCCCTGGCGGCCCTCATGTATGGTGCATGCCTGGACAAGAAAGTAGCGAGAGATTCTGGGCGGCACTTCCAAGTGGTTTGTCAAGGGTCATGGCTTTCAGCGTTACAAGAGAGTGTAGAAGAGACAGAAACAGCATGAAGCAGCTGATGCTGGCAAATTGCTAGGCATTGCTATCGCCTTGTCTTTTTGCAGAGATGGGTGGCAACGAAACATGTTTATCCTGTGTTCAGGCTTGAGTGTGTGGGGATTGTTTGCAGCCTTGGACCTAAAGTCTTTGCCTTACCAGCCTGGAGTGGGCTCCGACAAGTCGAGCCGTTGATTGGTCGTACTTCTTCTATCCTGTCCTGCTTGCACTGGGTTTGACCTCCTCTCTGCTCTCGATCAACTGTACTTGCCAGCTTTTGGTGGGTGGCTGCCCCTTTCCCCGGTGACTTTTTTACTTGAGGCCGCAGACGAAGTCACTTCGGCATCGTTGTAGTCGTTGTGTCATTTGCTGAAATCTATATATAATTATTGATATTAATTGATTGCAATTTGATGCTTCTAAGGAGATGGAGCTTCTCGCAGCCCATGCTGCAGAACCAATAGACGAGCCGGAGACAAGTGAAGTATCCTTCTGTTTCAAAATCAAACGATTTGCCCGGAAGTGGTGCACACTTGATGCTTGTGCTCTGGGCGGAATGCGCTTGAGGACTGGTGGCTAGTTTGCTTTGCCCTTACAAGTTCTGGTTCAGGAGTTCCAGCCTTTGGAAACATGCATCATGGCAACAGTGCTTTTGCAAAAGACGTTATTTCCATCAAATTGCCAGCGTTGTTTGGGGCCCCAGTCTGGGATCAGAACGCAAAACGTTTCTGGGGCAAGTTTCTGCTTTTTGTGCACGTGTATCACGAGTGGGCCCGTGTTACCATGGTTTGCATTACTTTTGATCGCTCGCAAGAATGCCCCCAAGTCGGACCATTGGGAGAAATCGATGAAAGTGCCGGTTGCTTAAATCGATCACCGCCCACAAACTGTCAGGATGCAGAAAAGTCTTGCACGGCTGCCCTATGATGCTGTGAACGGGAGTGCGGAGCTTCTGCACGGGTACAGAACTGGGATGGACACGCAAAGCTTGCGCATTGTTCTAGTGAAGAAGATGCAGCAGAGTGGCTTGGCCATTGACCACGACCACACGACGAACAACCTCGAAGTGGGCCAAGTGAATGATGCGCCAGATGGAACCGGTAGAACCACAAAGCATGTGGTAAAAGATATGGCCGGAAAGTGGGGGATGGAAAGTCATGGGATCTCGGCACTCGAAACGATGCTAGCGCAACCGCTCCACAGGCGCGTTTGGTGGCTGATGCCGGCGTTCTTACCATGGATCTCGTGCTTCTCGTTCAATTTGCTGAGATCCCACGCAGTTCGAGTGTCCCTTCTGGTCATCAAGGTCTTGACCGGTTCCGCTACGGCGGCTCTGTTCTACAGCGATTTCATGCAGGATGAAGCTCGATGCAGGCCACCCAGGGATGACTTGGACAAGGTGATGCGGGACATGTACATTGGCATATTCGGAGCAATCACGGGCGACGCGGTCATTATGGTGCTCAGCATGGTCGGACGCAGGGCAGTCGATGAGCATCTAGGTGATTAGTAACGAGATGTTACGAGTAACTTCAAGATGTTCGATGTTTTGTTTTTTTGAACGTGCTTGGAACCTGTAATACATTTCAGGAGCCAAAATGCCTTGCCATTTTGGCTCAAGATTGTCTCCTAATTTCCTGGTCCGTCTTGGACGGCGCTGAGCCGGTGACCTCCTTCACGCTCGAACCATCGGAAGCGGAGGCCAGGGACAAGGAGATCTTCCTGGTTGAAGAGACCGTCATCGAGACTGCCGGGTCCAGGACAAGCTCGCTGAGCTGAATGCGGCCATGATGGCCCTCCAGTCGCCCGTGGGGCAATGGAGCTTGAGGCAACCTGAATGGCTGTAGCAAACTTCTTGACAACCTTGTTTTTACGCTCGCATGTAAAGCAGCTGGGTAGTTTGCCCCACCTTCCAAGCTGGTCTGACATGTGTAGAGGCCAATGAAATTTGGGTGTTAAATGCCACCCACACTTGGCAGCCAATGCCAGACTTTGCTCCACACTTCCCAGCAGGAGTTCTTTGGATGCAAGCCCCCACATTTGCCCTTCAGACAGAATAAAAATCACTTCTGCCATGGCTAAAAAAGCCAAGCACTGATCATTGTATTTCCCAAGGGGCAATAGCATTTTTCTGCACCAGAAAACCATAATGGGTAGTATTGCCAACACTTCAGATGCTTGGAGCTGTAGCCTTTGGTGTTGTTTGTACTTTTTGATTCTCTTCCCATCAAAAAGCTCATGCAAGTGGTTCATGGACCAGTGAATTGGCAAATGCCATTTGGTCAAATATTTGCCAAAGTTCTCCCAAGATACAGCTGGTAGAGCAGCGAAAAGCTCATATGCAGCCACACTGAAAGTGCCATTGGAGCATGTGCCATGCATCCAATCATGAGCTAATCGCAGCCGCCCTACACCCTCGCCAGGAGGCCCTTTCGGCTGCCCCGGCGCCCTCTGACATCGTGGCGGTGACAGTCGGCTTGGGTATACTGAAGCTCCAATGCAAAGTCAACGGTGTCGGGAGAGGACTTGGTCATGCCATGCGTGCCACAACCCTCCCGATGGTGGCCTTGCTTGGCAACTTCAAACTTGGAGCGTTGAGCGGGTCATTGGGCGCCCTTCAAAGACAGGGTCGAGGACCCGGAGCACAACCAACTGACCACGGCCTTCCTGGCAAACAGCAGGAGCAGAACCTGGCACCGAAGGTGCGGAAGTCCTCAGTAATGCAGATCTCCGACGATTCAAGGAGCTGGTGGCAAACCGATGGCGCGAGGAACGTCAGGGCTCCTCCAACCACTGGGGCAAAGCTGGGACATTGAAGGAAGTCTGAACCGGCCAACTTCGGCTTCCACCACACCACGGACACCTTGACTGTCCTGAAGCGCGGGGAGAATCCATTCCGTCCACGGTTGGTGGAGGAGGTCCACCAAGTGCCTCGTGGCAGACCAGGACTTCCAGGACTTCCAGGACTGGGTACGCGGAGCAGACGCCTTGGGCTCTGAAACTCCGGCCGCTCTTGCGCCGTGCTGGCCACCTCCTTGGCCTTCACTGAGCCACTGCTGGGACCAATAAACACCTGGCTGGGATTTGTCATCCAACTGGAGGGGCCCATCGTACAAATGGCGAAAGAGAAGCTGATCGATCTTGGAACAGATGACTCAGGGCGAGGCCTTCACTGTCAAGGACTTGGAGAGTGGCGGGGCGGATCCCTAGGGATCCCTAAGGCCTTCTTGAAATGAAACCCAGGGGCCTACATCCCTGCCCTGGGGATGGTGGGATCCTTGCTCTTGGCGGCCTTCCTGATGTCCATGGGCGAAAAGAACAGATTGCATATCTGCATTTGTTGATGTCAGGGCAACATCTTTGCAATGTTGAGCCAGACCGGAAGATGCCAACCGCGGCAATCCTGATGCAATAGGTCCTTTCCCTCCACCAAGGCGGCTGCCTGCTCCTTCTCATGTGAAGAGGGGGCGCCGATAAAACCCTACGGGTTCACGCACGGGGTCTTCCAGGAGCTCTACTTTCAGGCCCTGAAATCACTCCTGGTTTGCCTGCTCCACACCTGTGCCTTTCTGGGCGGGACAGGCGCCTTTGGCCTTGAAATCCATCCTGGCCGGGCTGCGGATGGCTGCGGCGTGGCGCCATGGCTCTCAACCTACGACGTGTTTCTGACCTACGACATGTTTCTGAACATCGTGACCTTCCTACCCTTGTTCCTTGGTTTTCACGCAGGACTATAGGCTGGGTGCCATCCCAGTCCTGCTCACCAGTCTTTTGAGATCTCAGCCCAAGAGAAATCTAACCGAACAGCAGCAAAAGACAGCGTGCGTGCGCTTTGCTGTTGAGTTTTTGGACTTGATGTTTAAGGAAGCGTTGTATTATCCTTGTAGCTTTGTCAGAATGTGTCGGAGAACTCTTTTTTGGGGTCTCGCTAAGCATGGCTGCTTGGTAAGATTGAACACATGAGGCAATCTTGGAGTCTTACAAAAAGATTGCGGGAACTATCGGCCTGGAGACTGCAAGACGTAGCCTTTTGGTTCTTTTGGACCTTATATTCGCGCCTTGACAGCAAGACTTGTCCCAGACTCACAAAATGCTGGTCGCCGCATGTAGGAGATTGGGTGGACTGAGTCATATAAATACAAAGATTTTGCGCACTCAGCCAAAATGACACTTTTTTTAGATTCGCGCACGCCCTTCCTACTGAGATTTTTACCTTCAGGTATGCAGAGAGGGTCGCGTTCTTGACAGAAGGGTTTCAGGCCCCTGCAACTGATTGGGTACATGGGGGGGTTAGCGCGGAAAGCAACGAGCGCAAACCTAGAATTATAAATGCGGTTTTCAGTTTTTTGCCATTCGGGCCACTCAACTTATCGCGTTGGAGTTCATGAACTTCAAGACGATGACTTGAGTGGATTTTCAAGACACTCAAATAATAAGACAAGGTCTGCTGTCCAGCCTCTCCCATCCTGATTCTCGCTCTCGTTTGTTTTGCGCAACATCTCTGATCTGCCATAAACGTCTTGAAAGAACCTACAATGTACTCCACGAGAAGGTGAACTCGAACGAAGGTGGTTCCGGCAGATCGAAGTTCGCCCGAACTATATAGCGTGATTTGCGGCGTTCTGATGTGTTCATCAAAAGACGCAGGCCAACGTGGCGCACGCAATGAGCAGTCTTATGCCTCACACTGCTCCATGAAGAGAGATTCCAAGGATACGGTTCCGTCTCACAAGCAGGTACAATGATCAGTCCGAGAATCACCGAGGCTTATAGAGTGTTTTTGTTGGTGGTAGACTCATGACTCTCTGCCTTGCTACCACCCCCCCTGTGGCTGTAATTGCGCGCAGCATTCGGCAAAACAGTGGTGAGGCGTGAGAGGTGGAAGTTGGTTGGAGACTGGGTGGGCTACGCACTATAGGTTTCATCCAGTAAGATAATCCACGCAGAAAGGAATGAACGAACCGCAAGATCGCTGGGTCAGCTGAGTTGTAGGTGTTTTAAAATAACTGTTTCCAAGAAGGCTCGTGATGCAGCTGCAGTCCGCCGTGAAAAAGGGTTTTGGTATCACTTCGCGAGAAAAGTGGGGTGGTATCACCTTGCAGGCAGGTGTGAAAACAGTGAGCGGTGGAATCCCTTGGGTAGAGGGGGCGGCAGACACAAGGTGCCGCGTTGCAGTGTGCGCTAGCCAGAGACTTTTTTGCCTTTCAAGAATCGTCGGCGTGCGTCTGCCCCTTGGCGATGTAGAGGTCGATGAGGTGGTGGGCTGCGGAAGTGGCTGTGGATAGAGGGTAGGCATATTTTTCCCCAAACAGTTTACTGTTAGGGGTTCTCAACTCTTTCTTAAGATGTGTCCGCCCTTTGTGTCGCTGCTGGTGTCCGCCCTTTTCCGCTGGCCATGTAGAAACTCTATTCATTTGTCTCCCAGGTCTGTCGCTGCTGGTGTCCGCCCTTTTCCGTTGGCCATGTAGCATTTCTATTCATTTGTCTCCCGGGTCTGTCCTCACGTCGGCTACGAGTGGCTCAATGGTCACCAGCCAGTCGCCGAAGGTCAACGAGTTGGCGTCCAGTGGCAAGACCAGCAACTCCACGTTGCGAAGGCTTTCATTCATGCATTCTTCGGAGCCACCAGCCCCGATTCCGGCACCTCCACGAACAGCACCACCGCCAGGTCCACCACCAGAGAAGTCCAGCAGCTCCACCACCTCCACCCCCTGAACCCATGCCAGAAGGAAGGAAAGCGTGGTCCTGTAGGTCCAATTCCAGTAGCCCCCATCCAGCTCCTTGCACGCTAGGATGTTGACCGTTTGTCATAATCCCGGCTCCTTGCGCGCCAGGTTTCTGAACTGCTGATGTCCACCCTTTTCCGCTGGCCACGCAACATTTCTATTCATTTGTCTCCCGGTCTGTCGCTGGTGGCGTCCGCCCTATTCCACTGGCCATGTTCTCATTTGTCCAGGTCTGTCACTACTGGTGTCCGCCCTTTTCCATGTGTCTTCCAGGCCTGTCACTGGTGGCACTGCTGGTGTCCGCCCTTTTCCACTGGCCATGCATTTCTATTCATTTGTCTGCCAGGTCTTCATGTAGCATTTCTATTCATTTGTCTCCGAGGTCTGTCACTGCTGGTGTCCGCCCTGTTCCGCTGGCGATGCAAAATTTCTATTTGTTTCCCAGGTCTGTCACTGGTGGTGACCCCCTTTTTCCGCTGGCCACACAGCATTTCTATTCATTTGTCTCCCAGTTCTGTCACTGGCGGTGGCGATGTAGCATATGCGTTTGTCTTTCAGGTCTGTTGCTGCTGGTGTCCGCCCTTTTCCGCTGGCCAGCCATGCAGCATGTCTATTCATTTGTCTCCCAGGTCTGTCACTGTTGGTGTCCGCCCTTTTCCGCATTCTATTCATTTGCCTCCCAGGCCTGTCGCTGCCGGTGTCCGCCCTTTTCCGCTGGCCATGTAGCATTTCTATTCATTTGTCACTGCTTTCATTTGTCTCCCAGGGGTGGCCAAGGTCTGTCACTCCTGGTGTCCGCCCTTCTCCTGTCCGCCCTTTTCCGTTGGCCATGTAGCATTGTCACTGTTGGTGTCCGCCCTTTTCTGCTGGCGATGCGCAAAGAGTTTACTGTTAGGGCTTCTCAATTCTCTCTCCGCTGACCATCCATTCATCTCCCAGGTTCGGCGCCTGGCGCTGGTGTCCGCCCTTTTCCGTTCACTTGTCTCCGAGGTGATTTCTGTACTTCGCCAAACAGGATAGGGGTTCTCAAGGCTTTCTAGGAGTGTCCGCCTTGTCTGTCAGGTCTGTCATTGCTGGTGTCCGCCCTTTTCCGCTGGCCATGTAGCACTTCTATTCGTTTGTCTCCCAGGTCTGTCGCTGCTGGTGTCCGCCCTTTTCCGTTGGCCATGTAGGGCATGCAGCATTTCAATTCATTTGTCTCAAAAGTGATTTCTTTACTTCCGTCTCCCAGGTTCGGTGCCTGCTGCTGGTATATCCGCCCTTTTCCGCTGGCCACGCAGCATTTCTATTCATTTGTGTCCCATGTGATTTGTTTACCTTTTTTTCCAGGCGCGGCACCTGCACTGGCATCCGGCCTTCACCTCTTTCCAGCATTTCTATTCATGTGAAGGCAAGAAAGAAAGATGAAAGAAAAGAGGAAGAGCAACGCTAAACCTAGCATAAGGTTTGACAACAATGAAAGATCTGCGCAGCGCGATACTTTTGCCGGAGCAGTGGGAGGGCAAAAGTCTGCATTAGAGTGTGAAAACCACGCAATGGCCTAACGGGGCGGTGTAGGAAAGGAAGTGAAATCCGCTGGTTCAATCTGTTCCCTCATAATTGTGGTGGAAGCGCTCCATAGGTTCTGGTGGAGATTGCCTCGATGCCCTGCGGCGTAAGAAGAGGTGGTAGGGTGACTGCGATGAAAAAGTGGAGTGTCCCATGTGCGGGACGTGGTGTGGCGCTCACGAGAACGTGAGAGAGTGCACGAAGGGCGGTTGATCACACCATGTTGTGGGGGGAGGAGGTGTGTGAGGAAGGCAGTGGAGCTGTTGTGAGAAAATTGCTTGTCTGGGAAGGGGAGCGAACTGTGGGATCCATCCGGTAGTGTCCCTGCGATCCTGGAGAGCCGGGAATGAACTGCAGGAGGCGGCGTCCTTGGGTCTGGTGTTGTTGGTTGGGGATTGGGTCCAACACAAGCGGGCGCTGAAGAATGTCTTCAACGAGGCTTTCCAATAGATGCAGCATCCATTGGAGAAGAAGAAGTTCAGGTTGGTGGGTGACAGAAGGTGACATGTCGGAGTGGAGGAAAAGCTGGGCGATGGAGGAGAAGCAGGTGACGGTGGTGAGTGTGTGCGAGGTAGATGCTGTGGAGATCCTGAAGTATGTCAACGGCTGTCTGAGCAAGTGTTTGGAGCTGGGTCAGTGCAACCGCCGTCTGGCGAAGCAATGTGCTCGGGTCCATGTTTGGGAGGCGGTCTTCCGTTGTCGCCCGGCGGCAGCAGCTGCATATGGCACGTGACGTCACAAGAACCGCTGAAAGCCGTGGAAAACCGGAAAAATACATGCAAAATGAATTATGAAGCAGTGAATTAAATCGATCCGTAATAGTGATCGAAAAGTCATATGGCTGCACAGAGAGACTAAAGGTTCAGACCATGCAAAACAAGGAGTGTAGATAGCAGGGGTTGATCGGACATGGTGTAAGTTCCTCAACGAAACAAGGGAAACGATCCTCAAACTGTCACAAGAGCAAAGGCATGACATCAGGAAGCAGCCACAGGGCCATCTTTTGTGAGGCTGACTCGGTGTGAAGGCCGATGGTGCGGAGGTGGAGGTGAGCTCAAAAGGCTGGCGTCAGCTGACCACGTGAGGCCGCTAACTATGGCGTTCCTAGGGTCAATGACCCAGCATCGGCCATTTTGGTGGAACACGGCTCCGTGTTCCTCTTGGAGGAGTTTGGCGGCTTGCTCTTCCCCGCCCTGTGTAATTTTCACGCCGGTCCCCCATGCCAGGAGAGTGACGACAATGGAGTGTGTGTTGCTGGAAAGGTTCCAAGTGTTGTAGATGATATGGACGTTTTCGGTGTGACCGTGAGGGCAATTGTGTGTGTGGCCCAAAAGCCCTGGGCAAAGATGTGGATGAAGTGGAAGATGTCATAGCAAGTTTGTTCCATTTGATGTGGGTGAACTGTCGGAAATCGCATACATCAGAGTAGGTGAGGCCACTGTCGATGAGGAGGCGGGCAACATAAGTGTGTTGTGGAGCGTTGGGAGCGTCGAATTGGGAGGCACGGTATTCGAGCCAGGTTTCCAGCTGCTCTTGGGCTGGTTTCTGGTCAAAATTGGGTGGTGCCTTCCAAGGGTTGCGAACTCGACGCGTGGATGGATGGGGGTGGGGTAGGATATGTCAGGATCATGTGTGGTAACCTCTGAGTTTGGTCGGAGTGTGATGGCTGGTCTGTCTGCGCAAGAAGGTGGAGTATGACTGCGGGTAGAGGAGTCGGAATAGGATGTGGACGGATCGTGGTGGGTCGCCGATGTGTTGTGAGTGCCGAGATGCATGTGCGTAGGGATGGCCAGCATGGTGCCGACGTCTGTGGCGGCGGCGGCGACGGCGTGATCGTTTGGGTGCTGAAGGGGCGCCCCCAGTCGCGGGCGCATCTTTGTTGATGGTGGTGTTCGGCTGTTGCGGTGGTGGAGGAGGTGGTGGAGGTTGAGGTGGCTGGGACGCCGTGGAGTCAGTGGTGGTGTGAGCAGAAGTGGAGGTTAGGAGGTGATTGTTGGGAGAAGGCTGGGCAGGATGGGCTGGTGGCGGATGGGTAGGTGGCATGGGGTTGGTTGATGGAGAACTGGCTGGTGATTGAGTGGCCTGATTGGAATCCGACTGCCGGAACAGTGATTGGAGGTTGGGGCGGGTGAACACTGTGGCAGGTTGGAGGTTGGGCGGAGGTGGCGGGAGAAGCAGGCGGAGGAGCGTGGATGCTGGCCGGCAGCTGCGCTGGAAAAGGATGCACTGTAGAACGTGGAAAGTCTTGCGGGGGAGGTGCTGTGGGAAAGGGATGAGGAGCTGGAAAAACGAAATGTGCAGTTGGTTGTGGGACCGTAGAATGTGGAGGCCAAAACATGGGCAACGGATGACATGGTGTAGGTTGCGGTGGAACATGCTGTGGAATGGGCATCGTCAACGGTGGCGGTTGTTGTGGTGCATAAGGGTACGGCCAAGGAAAGTGCACGCTGCTGAAAGAAGTCAACGCGCTGTTGTCGGCAGCTGCAAGTATGGCGGCCGCGGCACGACGGGGCGGCTGCAAAAGAGTCAATAAGTTCAAGCGTGATCGAAAGTGCATCTAGTACATCGAATTCTGGTGAATTAAACCGGTCGAAGTGGAGAAAAGTCCGCGTGCGTGAAAAACATGAAGTTGAAAAATGTAGCATAGAGCATTTGAACCTGAAAGGCGCTGCCGCATACATATAACCGTAAGCCCTGCGGCAGCAAGGCTCCGTAGACTCGGCCGTGTTGTGGCAGTAGATTCATGGGGTGAAACTTTTAGTCACAAAGTGAGAATCCAACGCGTGCAGAAAAACGCTAAATCAAACTGTGATCCACGATGGTTTCAGCGCTCCCTTGCGGGGGATCACACCCTGCGCCCAAGTGGGACGGCAGAGCGGCGCACACTTAGACAATGGGTTTCCGTGAACTCAATTCCACGCGAAAAAGGACGATGGAACGGCAAGGTGAGTGAGTCCGAAAATTTGAAGGTGTTTCAACACAGGTGTTTCAGGCGCTCAGAAATCGCAGAAAACGGCGGCGGCGAGCTCAGCAGCTAGAAAATGGGTTTGTGGGGAGTAGCACGCAAACCACCATGGAAGCAAAAAATCAGGAATTGGACAGCGTGGGCAAAAGTTCTTTCAGCAGGTACGTCACTGGACGTTTCCAGTGATGTCCTCAGGACACTGCAGAGAGCTTTGTTAAGTGGAGCTCTGCAGGCCTTCTCCACTCCCCTGCAGACTGAACGAGTTTAAACTCCTAAAAACGGAGGGTGACGCACGCACACGCACACACACACACACACTTCGACACGGTTCATTCAGTAAAGACAATCCACAAGGAAAGGGATGGTGGAACGGCGCAGCAATTGAGTCCGCAAGACACTTGAAATTGAATGAACACTTGTTGGAACTCTCGCGCAAACAGTCAGCTGCAAAGCGGCGGTGGCGCTCAAAACGGTGAAGCTGCTGGGGAACGGTTTTGGGGTTTATCGTGAAAGGACAATGGAAACAAAACACAGCAGAGAAGACTGGTGTAATGTCACGAAGCAGGTACGTCACTGGACGTCTCAAGCGATATCCTCAGGACACTGCAGAGAGCTTTGTCAAGTCGAGCTCTGCAGGCCTGTTCCACTCCCCGGCTTGGGAATTGGGAAAGAAAGAATGGTGGAGGGAAGCCCTTGGAGACAGGGTACACCAACCCACGCAACATCACAAAACTGCAACAATTTTTTGGCTTTTGACGCCCTCGAGACTCGCGAGCGCATGCGAACATGCGACAGCTTGCTGACACTACAGGCAATCCTCGTGAATACGCGCCGACCCTCGCACACCTTTTCTTGAATTGGAACCCTTTCGCTACGCGTGTATTCGACAAAAGTCAGGAATGAAATCGAGATTGTTCGCCTTGTTCAGTTCTCAGGTCAGGATGCGTTCTCTACCTGCTCCTCTTCGTCTCCAACATGGATGCTCGCAACTGGTTGGTGTCGAATGTCTGGAGCCTTTGCCAGGATGGGCAATGGCCAACCCAATCTTTTTGTCCAATGGCGGTTGAATTGAAGTCTTGTGCCTGAGCAGGCCAAACATAAATGAGGTTGTGGTTGTCGTAGACACGGGAAATCTTAGACACAAGGGCCTGTGAGATTCTGTTCTCTCGTCAAGATTTGTTACATGTACAGGTGCACTGTTTGCTAGTTGAAACTACTCCGCATTACTGTAGCGCGTGTGGTCCAAAAGTCCGCTTACCTTGACATGGTAGCGGAGCACTGACGACCCTGGGGCAAAGGCCTTCGGGGGAGGTGCTGGGCGCCACATGGGTTCCTGGTTGATCTGGAGCTGCCTCTGCCTTAGTGAGTTTTTGCTCTTGGAATCCGGCCATACAGGTGATTTCGATACGTTGGTTGAGGGACGGTACAATGCAGTTGATTTTGTACGTTGGCGGTTCGAAGATTTCCTTTTTACAGTTGAGATTCAATTCATTGGTACAGTGTTGTTCATTGCTGAGTGGATGGAAGCAATGCTTTGGGGAGCCCATTGGAAACGATGCGTAGAAGTTGTTTTGACAGGGTCACAACTTGAGCATTGTACGTACATTGTTACAGTCCTTGGCTTGTCCTGTTTAGGGGCTTTGGTATTCCACAGAAGTAGGACGCGCTTGAGCTTGAAGAGCAAGAGGAGGTTTGGACACCAGGTGAGGAAAAGGTGGAGTGGATAGTTGAGACGACATCAAATGTTGGCTAGGTTGCAGTCTAAAGGATTTGCATTCCTTTTGCTGGTTCATTTGAGCGCTCAACAGTTCCAACAATTCATGACAGGTTTCGGCAATATCCTTCAGAGACAAGAGCAGGTGTTGGAAGGTGTTTCCCAGGCCTTTTCTTCCAGTGCTGGATCAGCATCAGCCTCGGTGGCGAAGTCATTGGAGTCTGCATCGAAGATCCTCAAGACACCGGAACCATTTGATGCATGTGACAGTTTGAGTTGGGTCAGTTGGAGGCATAGTTTCTTGAACTGGTTCTCATATGCTGATGGAAGGTTATTGGAATCGATCGAACAGATCGAAAAGTTGACTCCATCTGAGGGCATTGAGACGGTGGACTGGAGCCAAACGGAGTGGGACCTTGCAAGGAAGTTGTATGCAATTCTTACATCATGGGGCAGCACTTCAGTTGAGCAGGTCAGGTTCTGAAACCCGGAACGGGTTTGCACTTTGGAAGACGTTGGTTGACCACTACGCTCTAGCAACAAGACAGCGTGCCTTGGCTTTGTCGCAAGCAATTTCGTCGTTTCCTCAGTACAAGCAGACAGCAGGCAAGACATTGCAAGAGCACATCATGTCGATGGAAGCATTGGTGCAGCAGTATGACGCCCTCAACGCAAAACAATTTGATTGTGATGTTTTGTTGGGAGTTCTGATGCGGTTGTGTCCTGAAGGGATTCGACAACGCCTCAGCCTGGCAATTACAGAGAGTACTTCCTATCAGGAGGTGAGAGAACGGATCTTGGCTTTCGAGAGGAGTTCAAGGCTTTGGAGTGTTGACAATTCAGGTGACAATTCAGGAGTTTGAACAAGCAGGTTGACAATTCAGGTGTTGCTCCAATGGAGGTGGACGCCGTGACTTACAAAGGCAAAGGCAAATTGGAGAGAAAGGCAAGGGCGAGAAAGGAAGCAAAGGAAAGGGTAGCTGGTCAGATGCATGGCAATGGGCTAGTTCTTGGTCCAAAGGACGGAAGTCGAAAGGAAAGTTTTCCAAGGGAAAAGGAAAACAGAAGGGAAAAGGAAAGACAAAAGGCAAGTCGAAAGGGAAGAGTAAGTCGAAGAACAAACTCAATCCGGATCGGCGCCGGGTGTGCAACGGGTTTGGACATTGGGGCAATGAGTGCGCAAACAAGGACAATGTTCGTGAGGTGAGAGTTGACCATGGGCAGACAGGTGGTCAACAACAAAAAGCAGCGAGTGCCTTCGAGTGGGTCAACGGCCTATAGCTCAGTTGGCAGTATAAGAGCTTCGACTCAAAGGGCCGTTTGACGTGTCTACATGTACCATGTTGGTACCCCTCCAATTCAAACGCCCGAGAACGCGCAACCCCCCCTTGGCCCGGACTCCCAGACCACCGAAAGGGGGACTGGATTTCGTTGAAGTGTCATGTCAGGACAGTGTCAGCCGTGGTAGAAACGATGGTAGAGCAGTATGACATTTTTGATGGTGAAGACTTGGTTGGTTCGGTTGAGTCCCTAGCAGACGACCCGTTCTACTGGTGGCTCAGTTCAGGTGAGTCGGAATCAGATTTGATGTCAGGAGCCTTTCAGACGCCCGAGACTTTGCATGCGAGGACGGTAGAAGCTGAAAGTGAGCATGAGTGGATTGTGCTTGATTCCGGAGCCGATGTTTCGCTATTGCCACACAGGTGCGTTGCTGGATACAATATCCCCTCGCCCAGCGTCCAACTTGAAGACGCTCGAAGCAATTCATTGAAGGTCGGTGGCGTGAGGAAAGCGCAAGTTGAATTTGAGCATTGCTTGTCAGGGGATACAGGTTGTTGTTTGAGCGTTCCTTTCATTGTTTCAGATGTGACAAGCATTCTTTTGTCATTTGGCCGCATGTTGAAGACAGGTTGAACCACTGACAGGTGATCTCGAGAAGGTGGAACGACTAGGACATGGTTCTTGCGCAGGAGTCATGACGTCACCAGACAATCTGATTAGGATCCCCGTCTATTTCAGGAAGAACAGCCTCAGTGTCTTGGCCAATGTACGGCAGGGGACAGAAGAGTCAGGTGTAGCTCAGATCCCGGTTGAGTATGTGAGGACGGTGTTTGTCAAGTTGACATTTGATGTTGGCAAGCTGAAAGACGGTTGGTCGCTCATGGAGAACGACAATCTAGTTCACATACAGGAAAGTCACTCACTGGTCCTGGTACAGCACTTTCGAGAGCAGTTTGGAAGTTGAGGACAACGGTGGTGCTACTGGGACAGGTTTGGGAGGTTGTGGAACATTCCAAGCAGCTGGCTTCTATGACAAGCTTTGATGATGACATACCTGGAATTCATTTGGATACAACAGTACTGACATTTCCACAACGTCATATTTATCCTTTGAGCGACTGCATGTGTGAGTTGATTCGAGACGAACAGCTGCCTGAGTTGTTTGATGAGATTGAGAGGAAGGGAGGAAAAGGAGTTGATATTTTTCCATCTGAACCTGTTGTGCCGGTTGAGCTTCAGGATGCACCAATGGTTGGGAGAGGCACAGCGGGAGGTCACCAAGAACAACCTGAATCTGTTTGGGTGAACGGAAAGGAGCTTTCAAGGGAGAGCAAAGTGCCTGATTTGCAGGATGGTTGCAACTACCTTGGCATTAATGCCAGTGGGCCCAAGGCCAAGCTCTACGACAGATTGTGCGCATATTTTAGCAAACAATATCAGAAAGACATTGAAAGAGCAGCCACGCATCTACAGAAGCTTGAAAAGGGATCAGAAGTTCGTATGCAAGAGAAGAAAGCCGAGAGACCATCTGATCCAAATGAGGTGGAAAGACATGAGGTGACGCACCTACCATTTGCTGCATGGCGCGAGGCATGTTTGGAGACCAAGTCGAGAGAAGACAGAACAATCCAGAGCACAGATGCAGAAGTTGAAGACCCTGGAGTGCCCCACATTCAAATGGATTGGATGTACTTAGGAAGAAGCTGCCCATAGTTGATTCTTCTGGACACTACATCGAGGTATGGAGCTATTTTTCCTGCCAGGTCGAGAGGAGTTTGGCGTGCCCTAGCAGAGTTTTGTGTGAAGTTTTCATTGGGGCTGAACTATCTTGGAGAGGTTGTGTATGTCATGGACTCAGAGCCTGCGACCCTTGGTTTACTTGATATGATAGTGGGCTAGAAGACTTTGAAGAAAGCAGGAAACCGTACCACAAAGGGCACGCGGCCCGAGTGGAGAGATACACCCAGACTGCTGGAGGCAAGCTTGTACATTGATGGCTTGCGTGGAGGACAACATCCATGAAGTGTTGGATGACCTACATTGCTTAGGGGCTTTGGCGTTGGTGCATTCGGTCTTCCTATTGAACAGATTTCACGAGCATGCAGCAATCAGAGCAACTGCATTTGAGACCGTGTTTGGACAGAAGTATGCTGGAAAATTGGTTCCGTTCGGTGAATTCGCGTTCGGTCTCCGACAACCCATGAAGAAGCGTGGTACCAGCGTCTGGCAAGGAGGCATATGGGTTGGCAAGGACGAACACGATATGCACGTACTCCTCACTGCAGGTGGACAATTTCACGCCAGGAGACGTGATCCTTTCGCTGACTTCATCCCCATGGTCAAAGACCAAGAGCTCAGGACTTGTTAGAATTTTAGAAGCACCCATGCCAGTGATCTAGGAAAGATCCGAAGGTGCAGATCCCAGAGAACCGATCTTGTTGGGTACAGGTGAAGTTGATGAAGACGCTGAAGCAGTGCGTGACCAACTGGATAACTCCTATGAACCTACAGAAGTTGGGAGTGAACATGGACAAGGAGGAGGAAGAAATGCTCTAAGTGAAAAACCTTTGGAGCGATTGTCAGATGTTCAGAGAAAGAGCCTTCTTGGAATTCCGGTGATTCCAAGTACACAAACACAACCGATAGAAGTTGACCAAGAGGGACAGCCTGCGGAGAAACGAAGTGCAGAAGAAGTTCATGAGGAAGATCGAGAAAGCAAGGCGGCGCGGCTTGAGAGAGCTGAGAGCCCAAGTTCAAGTCCAAAAGCTGGTTTATTTGCTCCCTTGTATGCAGGCGGTGTGAATCGAGTGGACATGCCGCATGGAGATGTTTGTTGGGAGAACGAAGTTGATTGGGAGTTGATTGAAGATGAGTTGGGAAATTTTGGGCCCGATTTTCATGGTGAGAGACCCCCTGGTTTGTCGCCGGAGGGGCTGGACGAGTTGGACAGTGAAGCCATGAAGACGGAAGTTCAGAAGTTGACAGATATGGGCGTGGCGGGGCTCAGAGATGGTTCCACGATGTTTCACAGCATCTACAAGCATTGGGTTTTGTGTCATGTACAGCAATGCGTTCAGTGTTGAAACACCAGTCAAAGAGGTTGGCCATCAACATACATGTTGACGATGAGTTGGTGGCAGGAGAAAAGTTGGAAGACATTGATTGGGTGGTTGGTGAGTTGAGGAAGATTCACAGATTGCAGGTTGAAGGTCCGATGCCGAAAGAACCGTTGGGGAGTGGTGAAGAGCTTAGTTACCTGAAGAAGACCTATGTGTTTCAGCAAGATGGTATCTATGTGAGACCCAATTCCAAGTTCACGGACACCCTCATCAAGTTGTACGGTTTGCAGGACAGAAAGCAGAAACAAGTGCCTGAACAATGCTTGCTTGGACATCCAGATACATCGCCAGAGTTGGACAGTGAGAGACCATCAAATTTCAGAACAGGTTTGGGCACCGCAATGTACATGTCTCATGAAAGGTTGGATATACAGCATTGTGTGAAAACATTGGCTGGATCAATGAGGACTCCGACAGAACACGCAGAACGATGCTTGATTCAACTTTGTTTGTATCTCAAGAGCACAGCAAACCTCTCATTTCGACTTCCATACATACAAGTTGGGACACGTATGTCAGGAAGGTTGAACAACAGGCCAGAGCACGAGATCGAGGATGGTGTGCATGTCATGGAAATTTTCTGTGATAGTGATTGGGCAGGCAATTTGCATCGAAGGTCGACTACGTCAGTTGTCATCCTTTTGAACAGCTTGGTAGTCCTTTCCTACAGCAGGACTCAGAAGGCAGTTTCATTGTCTTCATGCGAAGCTGAAGTTCTCGCGCTCACCTCAGGTGCGAGCGAAGCCATGTTATTGAAAGAAGTCTGGACATTCATGGTAGGTCAAGAGACACTACTAGAAGCCCGCAGTGATTCATCAAGTGGCAGACAATGGCTGCAGCGGGCAGGACTTGGGAGGCTCAAGCACATTGACGTGAGACTTTGTTGGTTACAGAAAGCAATTCGTGAGAAAGTACTGCAGGTACTACCGGTATCTACCCAAGTCAACATAGCAGATCTAAATACCAAGAAGCTCACAGCCTCAAGAAGACAGTTCCTTCTTTCGTTCATGGGTGCAGTTCGCTTGAACGATGAGAATGAAGTGATCGAGGAAGTTGGAGAAAGAGAACAAATGAATTATTTTCTGAGCAATGGAAGAATCAGGTTCGGCAAGTGAGCAGGTGGATGAAGAACAAAGCAGTACCACAGATGGTACAATGTTCACTTTTTGTGCAAGCGACGAGTTTGAAAGGTTGTGTTGAAGATGGGACAAATGTGAATGTCGAACAGGACAATCAGCAGCAGTTCTATCTAACCTTGTTGGTTTTGATGCTTGTGGCATTGTGCAATTGGGTTTACAACCATTGGAATGAGCTGGCGGCTAGATTGGGACCGCGAGGACGAAAGAGGAGAAGAAACGAGCGAGGCGAGGAAGAACCCGAACCAGAAGTGGATCGAACGGTGGTTTCAAATGACAACATTGAGCCAGGAACCAGCCAGAAAGACCGGTTCCAGCAGCAGACAGCATTGAACCTCGGCCTCCGCTATTCCCACCGATGCCAATTGATCCTCCGGCACGTTGGGAAGTAGGGTCACCTGAATGGTTTACCTACTGGATGTTGGGAAGAGTGCAACGGAGGATAGAGAGGAGAGCTGGACGCATGACTGAGCCTGAAAGAAAGAAATATGAAAAGAGAAGGGAGGTTTTGAGGTCGACATTGATGATCTTAGAAGAGAGCCCGGGAGAAGTTGCAAGATGACGGGCTCATCATTTTGCCAGTCGATGACTGACCTATCGGTCGACGAGGAAAGCCCTCGAGGACCAGAGATTCCAGAACTTCCTGAACCAGGTGCAGAACCAGTAGAAGGAATTGAGAGATTGACAGAGAGAATGAACGAATATGATGGCTACTTCAGGTCGAGTCGAGTTCCGGGGCGAAGCATTGAATCCTTGGTTGACAGTCCCCAGGCCATCAATCGACCAGACAGAGACAATGGGGAAGGAGAACCAGAAGGTACATCTGATGCAGAGAGCGATGATACACGGTTTTATGGACGAAGTGTCAGATCCTGAGATGTGGATGGGTCTACATCACTACTCGTCGGATTCAGACCTTGATGTGCTGGATGAAGGTACAGAGCAACCCAGTGGATCGACAGGACATTGAGCATTTTACGATTTTCATTTTCATTTCCAAATTTCAATGAGGGTAGGTTGTTGCACCAGCTGAACCAACAACCTACACTACATGCATGGACGTATTTCCTGAAACCAGCTGAACCAGGAATACGTATAGCACTACGAACGTTGTATGCTTGAATTTGATTTCAATGTGGCAGCAACAGTACAGGAATTTGTGAAAGATTTTATAGGAATGGCATTGGTAGTCTGCCGGAACAATGTATACAGGGTATACATAGAAGAAATTGAGCGGACTTAACCCTAGGCCACCTTGAAGAGTGTGGCGCTCAGTGAAATGTACAAAAGAAGCGAACACAGCCTAGATCACCTAAGTTCGAGGCGGCGTGTCAAGATTTGTTACATGTATAGGCGCACTGTTTGCTAGTTGAAACTACTCCGCATTACCGTAGCGCGTGTGGTCCAAAAGTCCGCTTACCTTGACATCTTTCCATTATGATATGGGAAGGGCTTGACTCACCTTCGGACGTTGTGAGGTGAGCCATCCATGTTTAGTCGCTTAGGCACTTTCATATGGGAAACGGCTACAAGAACTTCTCTTTGGCTGTTTGGGAAGCGCAGCTGTTCGCAGGATTTGCTCCTGAAACCGCTGGCGATGTCGGTGGCCCTCAACATCATCGCAGGTGATCCTCTTCCCATCTCTTTCTCTTGGCGTCTGTTTTTCTATTTTTCTAGACCGCTGGATCCCGAACCTGTTGGCCCTTTGTACCGAGTCCATGGTCAGGGGTCGTAAAGCCGGAGTCGGCTTTCCCAGCGCCGGCAGGCTTGGCCCTCCGGTCCGACCGCGTGCAATTGGCGGTGAAGACCTCCTGGCTCCTGAAGGTGCCAACCTCGGACCTCGGAACATCTCCAAGAAAAGTTCACAAGTGGACAAACCACTTGCTGATATCGTTTCCATTAAGAATTATTACATTCATTAAAACCTTCTAAGATATAAGAAATATTAATGCAGGGTTTTATGAACCCCATGATTCCACTTCCATGATTCATTTGAGGGAGTGTGTACGGTATGGGCCTGGGATCAAGATTTGCGGGAACCGAGTCACTCCGACAGGTTTTAGGTCCTAGCACCTAGAGGTTTCAGTCATTGTTCCTCTACGCTTGGGGTTTGGGAGTCTACAAACTTCTGACACGTCCCAAAAAAGCAGATCGCGTCAGTGCTTTTTTGATGCACTAATTTATGCAATTCCCATCGTTCGAATCACAAATGCGTTTTTTTTAGGGCATCGCCACGCCCATGACGGAGCAAGAGATGGACGAGCTCAAAAAGACTTTCAAAAAGCTTGAGGCCAATCAAGAAACAACCAGCACAGGCGATGAAGCGGCCCAGCAGCATTTGGTCTGTGCAGTTTGTGGCTCTAAAGACTTGCTTCAGGTATGCTTTGTGAATATGGGACCTTTTTGGACTCTTCGGTAGGTTGGTTTGGGTGTCATGTTTTTTGTAACACTACAGAATTCACTGTTACAGTTACATACTCATTTTGCTCGCGGCTTTAGGACGCGTTCTCAGTCTTGGACGTCATAAAGATGGGACAACAGCAAGGTACGAAAGGTTGGTCCGTTTGACATGTCCAGGTTGTGCTGTTTTTCCTGCGACATAGGCATGTTCCGTCCATTTCCGTCCCATCTCTCAAGCACATCAGAGTACATTTGGATCCAAGACCGTTCAAGTCGTTTTGCTTCTCCTGCGTGACACCCACGTAGCCAGTTTCTTGTTGGGATTGTTGGGAGGTGTAGTCGATTTGGACAAAGCTCTTGAACAAGCACATACCGAACAGCTTCAAGAGGCGCTGGGACCAGCTCCGTTGCATGTGCATGCACACCCACTCGTATGTTCAGTTATTGATGGCCCATGAGCAGCATGCTTTGCTTGGGATAACGATAATATTTCATAAACATTCATACACCCAATGTATGTATGCAGTTTTGGCAACAGTTGTTCCGGCTTTCAGGTGCGAGCAGGCTTTGGATCATTCTCTAATGCATCTAATAACTGGGTTGCAAATGCTAAATGTATCATTCTTCAGTTTGAGAGTTTTTTGTTGCGTCCACACACTTCAGAATTTGTGTTGTTGATGTGTATGAAATCACTTTTGCGGCATTCCTCGCGGACATTGGGTGCCGGTTTGAGTTCTTCTAGGCCCCCATGCCTGCCACACCAAGCAAGTCTTGGATCGGGTCAATACTCAGCGCGTTTTCATGCTGCTCGGGGTCTGGGACAAAGGCGGGATTGAGTGCGCCTTAATGGTGGAGCTGAGATGGGCTTTCATGGTAAACCAGAAAAACTTGAACATGTTTGAGCCTCGGGCTTCCAAGGTCTTGACACTTCTTGCTATTGAGAAACGATTTGACATGTAACATGACCTTTGCAAACTCTGATGGTGTTTTCCAACCTAGACAGCATGGTGGCTGGTATGTATGACTCCATGATCAATGATCACTGACAACACACACACAGCTCCTTGATTCGTCTCGCCAGACCAAGCCGGATAGTGGGATCCAAGTGGTTGGCAAGCGTTTGATGGACACAGAATGAGTGAGGCCTGTTTGGCAACCAGGCTGCATGGACGTTTCCGAGTTTCAGGTTGTTTGAGATGTATAGGAACATACTTCATTCTTGGCCTTGACTGTGCGATGTTGTATGCATTTTCTCAACCAAAACATTAAACAGAGATTGACGAATTGAATGCAACAGTATAATAGACTCTAAAAGACAGCACTTTCAGTAGGACTCAGACTGGAGACAATTGGCTGCGCTGCTGCGACGCGCTCCTTGAGGGTTGTATGCTTTTGCACCAGAAATCGACAGTGTGTCCCATTGGGGTCGTGCGCTGCTGTAAGGAAGTCATGCGCGACCCTTGCGCTTGAATTAAGGCCCTTGCGGCCTCAGGCGGGCCAACAAGATCGTGGCCGGTGTTTCTTCGCACAGAATCGCAGCAAAGTGTTTGCGCGAGTGACAACCACACCCAGCACAATTCCCAACTCCGATGTGCGCATAGAGACAGAGAGACGGAGACAGAGACAGAGACAGAGACAGAGAGACAGACAGAGAGAGAGGGCGAGGGAGAGGGAGAGAAAACGAACGTGTTTCACAGCCATGGACAAACTTGCGCAGCGAGTTCAAGGGAAACAGAACGGTCTTCAGTTCTGGAAGAAGATGCTCGCAGTGCTTCACTTTGCGGTCGCCCCCGTCAACATCGTTTGGCCAGGTGTGGAGATGAAATATATGGGCGGCCCGTCACGCCGAACAAAACCAGAAATGGCGGCAGTGGTTTTGCACCTGTGAGCACAGTCTTCGCTCTTTTACCTTGGTACTTTAACGTACTTTAGGGATTTTGGCCTCGTCTCTTTGTGGTACTACAATGCTGCGCCAGCTTTTGGCAACACAGCTGCATGTGGGTTGCCGAGTTCCGAAGGTTATTTGATCCCTAAGAACCTTGCAAGGAGATTCAAGAGCTGAACAAATCCATTCATGATGGACCAGTTTCAGTGAGAGGTGAGACTGGAGGCAGTTGGCTGCGCTGCGGCGAAAGGTGGTCATACAAGCCCATTGTTTGAAGGCCGCTTGGAGGGTTGGCCTGCTTTTGCACATCGGTATTTTGCTTAGTAAGGGCCACGGAAAAGATGTGGCAAATCAATCTTAAAAGGAAAGCACTGAAATCCTGAGAGCAGGAGCCAAGTAATTTATATATATTTCTATGACTCGAACATACTAGAACACATTCATGAAAGAGGCAACACAGACTATATAGTAAAGAGAATAAGTGAGCAATCATACGAGGCTTCATGGATACTTCTAGACAAGCTCTAGTCAGCCCGTGTACATTGGGATGTTTGCTTTATGATCCACGTGCGTGGAATTGCTTTAAGATCCAGGCGCAAGGGTTCTTGGGCACTTGCAGCCCCAGGCAGGCAGGGTGTGCCAACCACACCGGTGTTGTCAGCGTTTTCAGAGATAATCCCAGCAACAAGATGTTTGCAGGTTAACACTCCCACCGCTCCCAACTCGTGGGTCAATTGGAGACACAAAGACTTACATAAATCAAATCTAGAAAACACTTTAGCAGTCACCGGGCCTGAACGTGCATTATTAAATTTTGGATGATTTTGCTAGAAACTGGATCTTTGCTTTTGGATGAAGATCGTCGCAGCGCTCCGCCCCATTTCCACACGCCTGAGGAGTCGCTCTGCCGTCGTCCCTTGGCCAGGTGAGTTGGAGATCAAGTCGCCGGTCGGCCAGTCATGCCATGATCGACACGGCTGTTGTGCATTTTGCGCGTGGCATCAGAAAGGTGTTTGCCGACCTTATTGCCTTCGTCCAATGGTGTACCACACAAAATGCTGCACCATAGGTGCAGACTTGGTGCAGCTCACCAGCTAGACTATGCTTGAGTTGTTTTCAACATGTTTTTTCTAGACATGAAAGCCAGCCAAAGCCAGCCCTTGCTAGATTGAGTTGTATTTGCAGCAAGAACTTGAAGAGAGCTCCCGGACCGAACCATCTCTCCCCACCCATGCCTTTTCAACTCCACCCGGACTGTTTTGGGTGGTCGGGTGTGGATTCCAATCAGAACCACGTTGGCATTGGACACATACTCAGACCGGCAGTGATTGCACAACGTACAACCTGAAAAGCATCCTTTCACCAACGAGAAACGCCGCGTCACCGCCCGTTCTTCGAATGTTCACTTGGTTCACGAATAGGCGCCAACCAAACACCAGCAGTAGAACGCGCGCCGTTTCTTGCTCATTGGGGGGCAAGCACATACCACTTCCCCTGAGGCAAGACATCGCGATTAAGTGTAAGAAACCACAGACTTGAAAAGGACCGACTCTCACGCATATGAAGATCTTGTAGCACCATCCCATTGCAGCGCCGGCAACAGCCACTATGTCACCTCGGGTATCTTATGGTACCATCTTTGCTGCGCTCTTCGATTTGCCTTCCCCCAGGATCTTTTGTCCGTTTTCGCTTTTAGCAAGACTATGGAAGCTGCTATTCCAACCAATGGCTCCAAGAGCGATTTTGTCGGTACCCACCATTCGCAGAAGCTTTGCTTCTGTGTTCCAGCCATCTTTTGCCTTCTTACTGCCCGGCAAGCTCTGGTAAATTCACGAATTGTGTTCTTCAACACAAATGTCTTCTTTCGAAACGTGCGCACCACCATGCCCCGGCTTTCATCCGTCTGCGCACAACACAGCGAGCTTACGCTTGCTTGGAAAGTCTTCTGTCCAAAGTTTCTTCAACGCTTTCAACTGATGGTTTTCCCTTTCCAGTGGTGAGAGTAGCACTCGAAGACACATAAAGACATTATTGGGGAACTCTCTTTCTTTTTTCTTGTTCCAGGCAGGAACCAGGAGTACACATTTCGGCACTGAACAGACTACGCAAACGAACCGGTGTAGTTTGTTTCAACATGTTCCAACTCTACAACATGGTTGTCTCATGTTTGACTTCACATAGCTCCATCACGCTGTGCCATGATTCCCTGACGTGCGACTCCAACAAAGATCACCAAAGCAAGTGCCAGCGCCTGGCAAATTCAAAGACAACTCTTGTCACGAAAGCTGGCGTCAGCTAGCTGGAGATGGAATGACCTACCCAGTGAATAATTCATGTGTAGAACCCCCCACGCCAGGTTCAACCCCCCCCCTTCGATCGAGGCCTTGGAGAGGACAATCCACTAGGTCATTTGACTGTCGCCTTCGTCGTCGTCTTGGTTGCCGCATCGTCTTCGTCATCGTGCTCCTTGTCCTTGTCGTAGGCTGCTCCTCCCTTCGTCGCCTGCGTTTCTTGTGTTTCTGCGCGTGTGTCGCCTGTGTTTTTCCTGCGTTTGGCGTCATTTTTCCATCGATTCGTAGCATACCTCATGACCTGCTTATTCCACAGAAACTTCTCCTCTACACCAACCCATGGTTTACACCACACACCCTTTACAACAACCCCGGGTTTACACCAAGCAACGGTCACTCCAAACCACGGTTTACACCAAACCCACGATTGAAACCACGCACTGCGGGGTTCAACGCCCCTTACCTCTCACCGCCTCTCGTTTCCAGACCCTGCTAGCTTTCGTCACCAACCCCCGGCCTCAAGTCAATTCGAGGGCAACTCCTGTGTACCGAAGACAACTTCTGTGAAATCGATGATGAGAAGCCCGGTGCAAATACCTTGGCAGCGCTGCTAGTTGCCTCAGCCCCAATCTAATCACATGCCCAATCGATGGCAACTCGTATGAAATCGATGATTACTCAGTTGAAAGCAGGGCATCTCTTCTGAAGACGATGTGACCCTGCGGGCATTGTTAAAACAATGCTGAAACACACACGCAAAGTCTACGGAGGTGACGGTAGAAAGCGACACCGGAAAAACAAAACAGAGGTACTACTTCACCAGCACGTGCTGCGGATGCAAGACACCATATCATCCTCAGCAGCCTAGCTTTTCAAGCTACCTCACTACTACTTATCGGCCAAGCATTTACCACTTCACGAGCAGTAAGAACCTCACCCACACCATTTGTACAGTCATATGTTAGACAAAAATTCACCGGCGAGTGGGTTTTAGATGCCTTTTGTTTGATGCCCATGGCCCATGCTACATCATGCCACCAAATGATGGATTGACTTGTGTGGCTTGATCACATCCTTGTTCCCTGTTTTACTTTTCTGTCCGCCTCCACTTGTTAGTGCCATCTTTCCGTTAGCTTCCGCTCGCCCCCGCTGGCACTCAACTACAAGAGTGTTGCGCCTATGGACCGCCTTTTTGCAGTGAGTTTGCTGTCAACACGACTCAGCCCCTTAAAATGCCTCTGCGAGCGATTGTTTGTCCTTCTTTTGGGATATAGTACTTGAGGCCAAAGCTAGCATGCTTAGAAACGAGATGCGGCGAGAGGTATCGGAGAGCGCAATTCTGCGTTCTCATGGCCTAGTGGATTGTCCTCTCCCATGCCTTGATCGGAATTGGACCCGCCGGGAGGGGGGGGAAGGGATACGGGTGGGGGGGAGGTCTACACATGAATTATTCAGTGGGTAGGTCACTCCATCCCCAGCCAATGACTTGCTAAAGCAAGAGTAACTCCAGCAAGCTGACGCTAGCTTTCGTGGCAATGCTGAAGGCGAGCAAGTCTACCATTGTCTTAGTGAACAAGGCAACCCAAAAACAAAGAACTATCCATGGGATCACAGGCCACCAATGCTACAGGGTATTTGCAGCCAAGCCACCATGTGCAAAGCAGTGTCAAACAA